GAGGTGGGAGGGGGGACTGGGATGGGGAATACATGTAAATCCATGGCTAATTCATTTCAATGTATGACAAAAACCACTGCAATGTTGTAAAGTAATTAGCCTCCAACTAATAAAAATAAATGGAAAAATAAATAAATAAAATGTTCCTAAAAAAAACAAAAACAAAAAACGATACTCTGAGGTAGGTTCATTTCTCTTCTGCACAGTAACTGAGCCTTCATCACATAGCCAGGTGGGGGCAGAATCAGAATTAGAATCCAGGCCATCTACCTCCAGAGCCAGTGTCCTTAACCATCACCTTTATGTTAATAGTAAGCTTGATACTGAGTCTTTGATTGATGTCTGTTTCTTTTAACTTCCTCAATGCAAACTGATGGCATAACTCCAAGTTATGATTCAGTAAAAGAGACGGCCAGCTAATCTAATGCACCTGCATGATTCAAGGATAACGTTTAGAATATGAGGGGAAGGGATGGCCATACCCTTTCAGTAGACCTGCTCGAAATCACATTACTTCCAAACAGATTTTAAATAAGAATTTAAAAGAAGAATGTTTGAAATTGTAAATCTTCCAGAATCTAGAGATCAGATGTTCCATGTGCCAAATAAAGGCAGAACTATATGCTTTAGTGATCAGCTAGGCAATAAATGTTCACACAATTATTTCTTTAAAATGCATTAGAAAACAAAACAAATAATATCACTAGAATATTATTAGAAAAAAATACTGGTCTCTGCCCCCAGTTCCTGGCACTGAACTCCCCAAATTCTTGCAATTTCCTAAGTGGTAAAGAGCACTAGCATCAGCTTTTGTTCTAATTACTGACACAGAGCTCCAAACGTCTTTGGAGTTTTCTGGGGGCTAGCAGTGTCTTTGCTTCTAATAAGATGATTCCTGGTGGACTCCAGATGGGGGCTGGTCACCAGAAAGTCCAAGCCATGCTTGGAAACTTGGAATTTTCAACCCTATTCCCTGTTCTTCAAACAGGGACGGGAAATGGAGTTAATGATGAATCATGCCTACATGATTGCATGCCTACATGCCTAATGATTCATCATTAGTTCCACTTCTAGTCCCTCTCTGAAGTCTCCATGAAAATCCCCAAAGTATAGGGTTCAGAGAACTTCTGGTTTGGTGAGCACATGGAGGAGCTTGGCAAGCAGAGTGTCAGAGAGAACATGGAATCTTTCTTACCCTATGCCTCTCTTTCATCTGAATTTTTTATCTGTATCCTTTATCATATCCTTTTATAATAAATGGGCAAACAGTAAGTAAACAGTTTTCTTGAATTCTGTGAGCTGCTCTAGCAAATTAAGTGAACCCGAGGAGGGTGTCATGGGAACTTCCAATTTATTGTCAATCAGTCAGAAGCACAGGTCTGGACATATGAAACGCGTGAGCAGGGAGCAGTGTTGTGAGACTGCACCCTTAACCTGTGGGATCTGACCTTGTCTCCAGGAAGGTAGTGTCAGAATTGAGTTAAACTGTAGGACATGCTCCTAGTGTTTCACAGTTGGTTGGTGAGGGGAAAAAATTCCCCATGTCTGATGTCAGAAGCACTATGAATGTGATGGTAGTATGAGAATAAAGAAGAAACACACAGGAGGGAGAGTGGGTTTTCCTACTTCATCCCACACACAATAATGATAACTCACATCATTAAATTGGTAGAGCATCAACCAAGCATTGATCTAAGTGATATATATTCCTATGTATATGTATTCATATTCATACATACTCTTAGGAATATACATTCATATTTATGAGCACTGAATGAGTATATACATATATATATTCACATGGCTATTAGTGTTCTCATTTTACAAATGAGAGGACTGAGGGACAGAGTACCTACGATCATTCAGCTAGCAAGTGACAGGTAGGAGCTGAACCTTGACAGTCCAGGTCCCAAACCCACATTCTTAACCTTGAAGCCACGCCTCTCAATACTACAATGGATGATAACTGCTGAATCACTGCTAGCAAGACTCTTTTTCATTTGGCAATTATTGTTGGGGACACAGGCCCTGCCTTCAAGTTGTACACAGTCTAACGAGACGCACAGAGACGTAAACAGATAAGTATAACACAATGTTCGAGGAGCTGCAAGAGGGGTACATTTGCTGGTGCTTCTGGGAGTTTATAGGAGCAGTGGAGATGGGCAGGGGCAGGCGAGAGGAGTCAGAGGACAGCAGGTGTGAGAGGGCACTTTCTCTTCTAATCGTGGGAAGAGATTTGCTCTGATCTAATCCAACTTTCTTAAGTGGTGTCCAGCTGGTTTTGATTCTGAATTTAAGAACTGGACCACTTATGGCAGATTCACGTTGTTGTATAGCAGAAACCAATATGACACTGTAAAGCAATTATCCTCCAATTAAAAATAAAATTTTAAAAAATTATAAAATTAAAAAAAGAAAAACAGAACCTGCTCATGTTGCACAAAGTAGCCAAACTGTCAAACATTTTATAAACACCAGGCAATTTGTTTATTGTCTTGGTTCTGAAACCAAATTTGCATTAAAATTTTTTTTCTTAGTATTCTGCAAGGTAAAAATGATATGAGAATTTCATAGAAGAGTAGCTTCCTGTGATTTTTTTAATTCTCAAAGGAGTGGCTGAATGAAAGAAGTACATGTAACTTTCATATGACCAAACATAAGTAGAATCAGCTAAATCCTATAGCATGTAACCAACCTTTCATACTTTTAACATGTGTCTCTTTGGTTCCAACAGGGTCTGTCTCTTCCTTTGGTTCCTCAGAATCTCTCTGAATAAAAGATTCATCCAGAGCCCATAAAACCAAATTGCGCAAGGAACTTATTGTGGTTCCATCTTTGGTGTATATTTTGGAGGCTGCTCTGGCCAGACCAAGTTGTTCTGTACATTCTGTAAGCAGCTAAAAACACAGACTATAAGGAACTGAGAGGAAATAGTGGTAGAACTGGGGATAATCAAGCAGAGTGTGTTATTTTAGAATTCTGAGAAAATTCTTTAATTTGAGAAAACAGAAAGCAGTAACTACCAACTTGATCTTTGATTAGAGATGATTTTTGATATTAGATTGTCCTATGTAATCTCAAAAATTAGTCCAGTCCAGCTGTGAAAATTCTTAGCTCCAAAAATTGAACGCAGCAGCTGATGTCTGTTAATACATTTTATCATCAGAAGTATTTATTTCCTAAGAAATGTTAACCTAGAAATTGACTTTCAACCATGTTGCTTTATAGTGAATAAAATTATTGCAACACTTCAGATGAGCTGCTTTAAAATAAATGAGTCCTTGACTTTCAAACCAAGAACTGACACACTATTACATCCATTTGGCAGATGGGAAATTCGGCTGAAAGGTTAACATTTTTGCCTAAGACCACAAAAGCCAGGGTCCCAGGGTGGATTTTGAAGCTGCTAACTTTTGTCCTAGACCATTGACCAACAATATTTTAATTTAAAAAATCTCTTCAGACTCAATCAAAGGGGTGAGCGGATAATTGTGTGTGTGTGTGTGTGTGTGTGTGTGTGTGTATGTGTGTGTGAATACTTGCAAAGGAGTCTACAGGATAACTCCACATCATATTTAACATTGCATATAAAATGCATTGGTAAAGATATTGGCCAGAACCTACAGACATAAGACCATTACCAAGCAACTGAAGGACAAACGTGGGTTTGGACCCCAGGAATGCTCCTTCCTCCCCAGGACCGCGGGGAACAGCCTCTAAGACAGAAGCCACATATTCCCTCCTAGCACAACTCCTGCTTCTCCAATCTGAAAATAGCCCTGTCACCAAGCAAGTGCTCAGCTTCTCCCAATGATGGATGAGGTGGGATCTCAGAATATTCCGATGACGTACAACTTGAAGCGGGAAAGGGAAGGAAGGAAGAAAAGGCTTTCTGTCTGTCACAAGAGTGAAGAAATTCTGGTAGCTTTGCCTTCCCCTTGCTTTTTTTTTTACCCTTTGCTCTGGAGCCAATCTGAAAACTGTATTCTGTTTTCTCATTTTTCTAAGTCTATATCCAAAGAAATACAATCAAAAAGAACATCTTTAAGAAAAGAGATCTTGATCTCATCAGCTTAAATGGGTAAAACTGTCCTGGGATATTTGTGACTCAATCCCGCTGCTTCTTTTTTCTTGTCAGAAGAATCACCATCATCATTGCCTCTAAGGATGTGAGAAACATTTAAGTGATAGCCACTTACCATGGGGAATGTTCCAGCCACAATTAACTTCCCATTTCGATATCCATCTCCATTTTTGTATGCAATTATTTTCACTGCCTTCTGGTTTGTAACTGCCATGCCACAATGAGATACAACTTGCGTGCAGGTCTTCATCCGTAAAGATAATAGATGCTCTTCATAATAACTCAAAGTGTTTTCAGCCTCACGAGAAGATAAATCAGTCTGATTTTTTTTTAAAGAAAAACAACATAGATTGACTCAAACTTTGATCCTTTTTAGTTTTATTTTGTTATACTTCAGGCTTTTAATTTAATATGTGTTTGTACGTGTGTAGCATTTAAATTTTGAAAAGCTCACTTCATATGCTGTAGGTATTTGATGCTGTAGTGGGAAGGACATGAGGTCCAGACTCCTTGGTTCTCCTCCCAGCCCTGTCACTGAGTTTCTATGTGACTTTGGGACTCTGGCTTGTGTTTCTGGCCTTCTCCTGTTTTCTACTTTGCCTTCCCCTGGACATGAGGTGGAGAAGAATGATGCCAGGGCCAGAGAGAGCCCGGGGTGGAAGCAATGGACAGTAGGACTAAAGGTGTTCTCTGAATCTTTACCTTTAGGATGATGTCATCCTAGGGTGGCAGATATTGACGTATGGGGAGGAGAATGAGCGTAGCCTTAACCACGCGGCAATGAGGGTGGTGAACACCACACTTCACCTTTCTCTATTCATCCTTAGTCAAGAAGCTGGCCTGAGGGAAAAGCTGTGTCTGAGATGGTGTAACACTGGGGATGCTTTTCAATCAGCTCACCCCTCTACCTCCTTTACACCACCCCATTATCGCCTCAGCAAAGCCAAATGCCTGCAGGCTTTCCCGGAGGACTGACTGCCCTTCTCCTTCAGAGTTACTGAGGTTTCAGTTGGTGTCTATTATCACTGTGTGTCAGGTTGAGGGCAGAGAGGACAGCGATCTGGGAACAAGTTGGGCCAGCCTCAAGAGCAGACCAGGTGGAAGGTTCCTACCCATTAAGAATTGCTCCTTTTTATATAGGTGTGTACGTTTCTCTTTAGCTCTTCTTGCTTCTAAACTTGAAAGAAAGGATTTTTTAAAAGGTGTCATTTAAAAATCTTTTTTGATATATCCTTTTATTTTAATTAGCTAAAAAGAAAAAAAAAACCACAAGATTGATGGCATTGAAAGAGAAGAAAGCATACATGCAAAACTGATATGGAGACGAGAATGAAATACACATTAAAAAGCTACTACAGGAATCATTTTGATTAAGGACTGTATAATGTTGTAAACTAGTGAGGTTTTGAAAATACTGTGAAAATAGAGATTTTAAACAAGGTTCCAGAATGAAGAAGAAAGAAAAGAACTAGAAAAGAACTCACATTCATAAGTACTTCAGGGGGATAGGTCTTGACAAGGGAAACATGCTTTTTTTAAAATTCTTTTTAAAAAATGTTTATTAATGCCAAATTGTCGCTTTTAGTATCATGTTCTAAGGCTTTGCCTTTGAGTTTTTTGTAAAAAACTTTACTTGTTAGTTTACAGCGTGGTGTTACTTTCTGCGATACAACAAAGTGAATCAGCCACACGTATACATATTCTCCCTCTGTTTTGTATTTCCTTCCTGTTTTGGTTGCCATAGAGCAGTGAACAGAGTTCCCGTGCTATACAGTAGGTTTTCACCACTTATCTGTTTTATACATGGTAGTGTGTATATATCAATCCCAATCTCCCAGCTGAATTGTACCACTTTAAATTAAGAAACCAGAAAAGCAGTAAAGACTTTTCTCTCCATGATACAATTAGCATTAGACATGAATGCGTGAATTCAGGCATCCAACCTGAAGAGCCATTAATAACAACACATCAGATGAGCCCTGAAATGTTCCATAATAGTATAAAAGGAGTTTACCCCATGCATGGAGGCAAAAAGCTCCTCCACTAAGTAAAGATTTGCAGTTACTTTCCCATCTAAAAGCAACACAGAGAGTAGTGCAAGGTGTCAGTAGATGATTAAAGCCTCAGAAGTGCCCAATTAACTTCAAAGTGTGTATCGAACTATTAACAGACAATGTATTTTAAGTTACAATGGGGAAAAGGAAATCAATGCAGGTGGAATGGTAAAGGTGCATCAGTAAAAGATGAATTGGATGAGTGGAGATGAACTTGAGTGCAAGGCAAATAATGAATGCATCAAAGTTTCCAGACTCATGCCACACATGTATTAGCAGAGCTCAGATCATTACACACCTTGGCCACATCAATGACCTTGAAAGGCCCACGTGAGAAGGGCTTCTGGGTTTTGGAGGCCGAGGCACAGAGGAATGGGAGCCCTGGAGGCAACTGTTTCAGTCCCTTCTCTGCTCTCACGGATCGTCCACATGCCACACAGAGCATCGTTTTCTTCTTTCCACTGGGTAAGAGATAATAGTATCCCTGGAAAAGGATAAAGATGCTTTGATTTGGATGCATCTAAATTATGATAGCATTTTGTAGAATACTTTGCCATAAAAACAAAGCACTGTTATAATCCCCAAATGCTAAATTTGAAATCACAACACGAGCACATTATTTCACTCCCTAATTATTATATCTTTAAAAACCACATTATTTCCAAACACTGTTGATTGAAAAAGCCCAGAGGCGTTGACAGTTCAACATCGATGAGTATAACTTGTATTCAGAATCAGAGTTTCTTAGAGGAATGGCCCCCATTCCACATGTAGGACAGGATATACAGCAGTCCTCTACGTGTGGACCTTCAAGTTGCAAACTTTCAAAGGTGTGAACGTATGCCAGCTGCTGTACCGTACTGCTGTACTTTTCAAGGTACTGAGCTGCAAGGTTAAAAATGTTTCCTTTATTTTTTGTGTTTGTTTTTCATGTGTTATTTGTGTAAAAAGTATTATAAATCTGTTACAGTATAATACTATATAGCTGATTCTGTTAGCTGGGTACCTAGGCTAACTTTGTTGGACTTTTGAACAAATCGGGCTTATGAATGCACTCTTGAAACAGAACTCACTCATATGTAGGGGACTTACTGTATACTAGACAAGCAAGGATTTCTTGTGGTACCCAGAAAAAAAGAAGCCATCTCAAAGTAAAGATATTATGTCAAAAAAGACACAGGAGCCACCATTATAGACATTCCACTGGCTCAAAGTGGGGCAAATAAAATGATAACTGAAAAACTTCAAACATGTTTGAATGTGTAAAATCCCATGAGTTCATAATGATGTTAAAAATATAAGTAAAAAAAAAAAGGCAACAAACAAATAAAAACAAAACCACTACTTATTGGAGTCTATTGGAAGAAAATGTACCAATTTACAACTCTGAAATCAGCCTTTAGAAAGTGCGGAAGATTATTTGCAAAGATGGCCATAATATAACCATCCTATTCTTGTTTGTATGTCCTTTTGAAATGTCATTTTGCTGCTCCTCCAATCAAGAAACAGTTTCTTTCTCCTTTCCGCTTTTCCTTGAATCTGGGCAAGGTCACATGACTTGCTTTGGGTAATGTAGCATTAGCAAATGTTATGCAGGCAGATGCATAAGAAGCGCTTGCACACTGGAGCTTGTTTTCTCTTGGCTGCATTTGGAAGCCTGAGACCATAATGCGAGCTCACTTGAGCTAGCTTACTTAGGAAGTCTTGAAGAGGGAATTCCCTGGCATTCCAGTGGTTAGGACACTGCCCTCTCACTGTCGAGTACCCAGGTTCAATTCCTGGTTGGGGAACAAAAGAAGCATTGAGGAGAACCAAGGCCCCCAGCTGACAGCCTGTCAAACACTAGTCATGTAATTTGACCATTCAGACACCCTAGAACCACCAAACTACTGGTATACGACCAAATAACTACAGTCAAATTAGTGACAATGCACAAAGACCAGCAGAACTGCCCAGTCAAACCCAGTCCAAATTGTTGACTCAGAGTATAAGGTAGTTAAGCTACTAACATTTTAGGTGATTTGCTATCCTATTCTAATAGGTAAGTTATATAGAACAAATATTTATCCTACCATCCTTTATAAACCACAATTCTAGGCAGTCAAATACCTAGCTGAAGAGGTAAAGTTCTTCCTTACATGAAAAATTCAGCTAATACATGTTGGGGAAAGTAATAGAATTAAACAAAATTGACCCTTTTGAAACTTCTAATGAAATTATTGATTTAGGCAATGATCACAGAAAGGCAACACTAAATGAAAAGTCACTGGGAATTGTTTTTTGATGTGAGATTAGGTTGTAATCACCTGAACCCATGGATAACCATTACCATTAAAAATGGAAAATCCACACCATGTGCCTGCATAAGTAATAAATATGAAACACGCAGTAAAACCTATGAAGATTCATGGCCAAAAAAGAGCTGAACATAAATATAATTAAACTGCAGTGTTAAATCTCTTTTATAGGAGCTATGGGAGCCAGAGGAACAGGTTAAAGGATGCCACAGGAAGTGAACAGACAAATCCAAATAAGAGGAGGTCTTCCATAGGATGGATTCTGCAACCAGTAGCACATAGGGATTCTGTTTGAATCCTGACTCCAACTAACCATAAGAAGAATGTTTAGGAGAAACTGGGAAATTTCATTATTAACAGGGCATTAAGAGGTCAAAAAACTTTTTAAAAGTGAAAGTGAAAGTTGCTTAGTCATGTCCGACTCTTTGCAACCCCATGGACTGTAGCCTGCCAGGCTCCTCTCTCCATGGAATTCTCCAGGCCAGAATACTGGAGTGGGTAGCCTTTCCCTTCTCCAGGGGATCTTCCCAATCCAGGGATCTAACCCAAGTCTCCCACACTGAAGGTGGATTCTTTACCACCAGGGAAGCCCTGGAGGTAAAAAAAGTTATCCTTGATTTTGTTAGGTGTGACAATGGCATAATGATTATAATCATAAGAAAGTGTTCAAATTTTTATAGGTGCAGGCTCAAGTATGAGGTGAAATGATATCATGTCTAGGATTTGTAAACATTGCAAAACTTTGCTAATAGTTGAATTTGGATGATAGGTACATGAAAAGTTATTGAATTAGTCTCTCTACTTTAAATATGTATGAATATTTTAAAGTGCACTCTCTAATTTGCTTTGTTCCTCACAAGGCTAGGACTTCTCCGGTGGCTCAAATTGTAAAAGAATCTGCCTGCAGTGCAGGAGACCTGTGTTCAATCCCTGGGTTGGGAAGATCCCCTGGAGGAGGGCATGGCAACCCACTCCAGTGTTCTTGCCTGGAGAATCCCCATGGACAGAGGAACTGGGCTACAATCCATGGGGTTGCAAAGAGTTGGACATGACTAAGTGACTAAGCACGTCACAAGGCTAAAAGTTAAGTACAGCCAGAGTTAATAGCATCATTCTCAATTTACAGACGAGAAAACAGAAGCTCAGAGAGGGAAGTTTTTAATTCAAGGGAACCCAAGTAGTATGTGGCAGAGCTGAAACATAAAACTGTGACTTCTAATTCCAAGTTTTTGGCTTTTTTGCATTTGTCATATTTCTTTGTCTACTCCATTTAAATACTGAACATTACCTTAATTCAAAGCCAACATTTAAGTGATACTTTTGAAGATACAGTTCTTAAGTTCCACTATGAATTTCTCTATATGCACATCTGATTTCCATTTTCCTACAATTTACTTGGGGGCAGAAAATTAACATATTTCCTCTCAGATGGATGAATACTCATACAGAATAATTTGTACAGAAAAACATGAACTTCATGATAAATTGTGTGCCAATGATATTCCTTATTACACTAAAGAAGGCCATTGAAAGCATCCAGAAAATGTATTTTCAATCATTAAGACATCAATTCCCATGACTGTGGGGCTGCTAACTATTTTTATGTTCCCCAAATTATTTTACTTTGGCAATGGTGCATATACACAATGTAAACTGAATTTTTGGTTAATTCATTCAAGCTTAATATAGGCTTTAAACTACTGCTGGAAAGGAAAAATGAAATATGTGGGGATAGTTCCCAAGGTTAGGCTGTATCTACAGGATGCAAATGGAATTTAAAAGTTGAGCAAGTCAACAGCTGGCCGTATGCACAGAATACCAAGCAACTGGTTTGCCTGACATTTTTCCTCTATAAAATCTCCTTGATTTATTGAAATGACTAATTTAACCTGTTCATTTGACCTTATACAAACATGATCTACAACATGGGGCTTGTTTGGTCAATAATGACCCTGACTATATATATATAATAGCTACTGTGAATAAATGATTCAGTTTATCAATCTTTATTTAACTAATTTATTGATATTATGGCCAACATCCACTGGATCATCAAAAAAGCAAGAGAGTTCCAAAAAAACATCTATTTCTGCTTTGTTGATTATGCCAAAGCCTTTGACTGTGTGGATCACAATAAACTATGGAAAATTCTGAAGGAGATGGGAATACCAGACCACCTGACCTGCCTCTTGAGAAACCTGTATACAGGTCAGGAAGCAACAGTTAGAACTGGACATGGGACAACAGACGNAGTCCCTTGGACTGCAAGGAGATCCAACCAGTCCATCCTAAAGGAGATCAGTCCTAGGTGTTAATTGGAAAGACTGATATTGAAGCTGAAACTCCAGTACTTTGGCCACCTGATGAGAAGAGCTGACTCAGTTGAAAAGACCCTGATGCTGGGAAGGATTGAGGGTAGGAGAAGAAGGGGCTGACAGAGGATGAGATGGTTGGATGGCATCACTGATTCAATGGACATGGGTTTGGGTAGACTCCGGCAGTTGGTGATGGACAGGGAGGCCTGGAGTGCTGTAGTTCATGGCGTCTCAAAGAGTCGGATACGACTGAGCGACTGAACTAATACTGATTGATATTATTTATATTTATTATTTATGTTATTTATTATTTAAATTATATCATCTATGTAAAAATAAAGTTGCATCAGTATGTAATATACAGTAGCTTTATAGTATATAGAAGTTACTTTACGTTAGTTTTCTTTTTCTAAACTGGCCAAGCAAACATGGTCTAGAGAGGAAGTTCTTATTCTAAATCTAAATTGCAATTCAAGGGGGAGTCTATGAATTCCCTGAATTCTCATACAAAAAGTGTTTGTTTACACATGTGCATTTTGTGGAAAAGAACATCCATAATTTTCATAAGACTTTCAATGAGGTCTGTATCTCTGAAAAGGTTAAGAACTAACTACTGATTTGGAGCCTTTGGGCAGAGGGGAGGTTTCCCCAGACCTAAGAGAGATAAACATTTTTTTTTTTTAGAATCCCAGAATTGATACATTACTGTACTTTTTAAATTAACCACATTAATTCTATCAGACAGGTTATTACTTAACTAGTAGGAAAGGAAAATTATCATCTTTTAGAAGAAACGTTGAAAATTGGAAGGTTTTATCCTTATCTAACAAATAAGAACTCTATCACAGCTATAATATACCTAAAATTAATAATAAAACCATAATACAATTTTTTTTTTTTAACATGACTTGAACACTCTTTGGCTGCATATTAGCTAAGAGCTATGAGATCACAGACAAAGGAGAAAAGGTCAGAGGGGGTTAGCTTAGTGGAAACCAGAGACCTGCCAATTGGAATGATACATTTAACATGTCTCATTCAGGAGAGCCGGAGAATGATGCATGAAGAAGCAGTAGACAAGTTTAGACTTTTGAGGAGCAGAGTAAAGAGGGCCTTGGAAGGTCCTGTAATATGTATTATGAGATTTCAATATTCTGCAGGCCAATGGTTAGCAACAATAGCAAGGTGCCTTGACTGACGACTATCTCAGATGTCTATAAAACATGGTACAAGTAATTCCTTAATAATAAAAATTAAAGTACAAAACTTTAGAAATTATTGAAAACTTAAGAGTACACCATGCTTAGCCCTATGCTTTGTATAATATAATATAAAGCCACTTACAATGATTGGCATTTTTAAAACTTTTTGTTTTGTATTGGAGTGTAGCCGATTAGCAATGTTGTGATAGTTTCAGGAGGAGGGCAAAGAGACTCAGCCACGCATACAGATGTATCCTTTCTCTCCCAAACCCCTCCCAGCCAGGCTGCCACATAACAGTGAGCAGAGCTCCCTGTGCTACACAATAGGCCCGTTTTGGCTCTCCATTTTAAATATAGCACTGTGGGCCTGTCATCCCAAGCTCCCTAATCATCCCTTCTCCCCGTTTTTGGCGTTTTAATATACTTTCTGGAGTGGAGTGGTAGCGAGTGTGGCAGGCACACCTGTGGAGTGAAGTGGAGTGATTATCCTGACCTTCATGCATGTTCTAGTGAGTGATGGTGAACCAAAGATATGACAGTGAAGGCAGTCAGTGAAACAATATAAGTCGAGGGTAACATCGATATTCCTTCCTTCTTTCTTGACCAGAATCACAGAGTCTGATTTCATTCACAAGTCAGTGTTTAATTTGTTTGAACTTAAGGTTTTCTGGGGAGAGTTTCTTGCTTTATTAAACTAACCCATCCCTCCCTCCTCTTTTTTGTAGGAAGGAACCACTTACTGGTTGATCAACGTTTTCTTCTCTAATCACAGAAGATGTACAAACACCAGCATAGTTTGCAGCTGTGATCTCTTTATCCAGTGCAGTGCTATGAAAGGCCATAAAAGCTTTCATACTTTTCATGTAATTCCACTTTTGATTAGAAGCCCCATTGTTATGTGGTTTGTATTTCTGAAAAAAAAAGGAGAGAGAAAAATACGGAGTCAAATAGAAGAATTTATGATTTGCATATAGCAGTCCTAGTTTTCATTGCATAAATTCAGAAAATACAGATAATTACTCAAAACTCTACTATGTAGTGATAACTACTCGATATTTAATGATTATATTTCATATACACTTGCACTCTTTGATTTATAAAAAACATGGAATCAGAAAATACACAAAATTTGATAACTGCAGTAGTTTTTTTTTTAAAGTATATATATTATTTGATCTTAGGGTAGTTTACTTTACCAGTATTTAGCAGTTAAACATGTAGATTGTTTCTCAAATTTTCTTTACTATAAACAAAAGAGCAACCAACAATCATAAAATAAATCTTTATGTAAATCCATAACATTTTGAGAACAAATTCTTGAAGTAGAATTGCTAATAAAGGAACAGGATCATTAAAAAATTATGGTGTATAATATAAAGCTTTATCATATCAAAATATTTTCTAGGAAGGTTATTCTAGCTTACACTTCCATCAATATTATATGAAATGGTCTCTTCACACTCTTGCCAAAGCACTGAAAATTTAATAAATGAAAAATAGTACCTCATCGATATTTTAATTTACATTTCACTGGCTACCAAGAAGGTTTTTTAAAAAATATGAGTACACTATATTTTCAGGTGGCTCAGTGGGTAAAGAACCCACCTGAAGTGTGGGAGAGGCATGAGACAAAGGTTCAATCCTTGGGTCAGGAAGATCCCCTGCAGAAGGGACTAGAAGCCCACTCCAGTATTCGTGCCTGACAGAGAAGCCTGGTGGGCTACAGTCCACAGGGTTGCAATGAGTAGGACATGACTGATGAGACTGAGCAGGCACACACACTCTATTTTATGTATTAGAAACAGCATACTTATCCTAATTATAAAACTTGGTTTGAGCATAAGTTAAAAAATGAGTAGTTTCAATTTTAGGGAATTTAAACCAGTAGATTAGTTCTAACCAAACATATAATGACACTTCAAGGAACTTCATAATGAATAATACTTACTCTACCAAAGAGAGATTGATAGTGAAGAGGAAAACAAATGAGTCTTAAGAATTGATTTAATAGGTCAGACAATAGAGCATCCCTCAGAGGTATGCAAAACAAAGACTATATTTCAAGGAACAGGGAGAGGGTTGAGTAACATTAACCTAACAGGCCTCATTTTTATTATTTTACATGAACATTGATATATTCTTACAAACTGCTTCAAGAAATAAAAATGAAACAGCAAGTAAAGAAAAAACTCTTGAAAGGTAATACAAATTACCTTGAGATCAAGTTCACTTCTTATAAAAATGGGAACCTTAGGGGAAAACCTCCATATCTATAATTTTATGAAACTGATTAAGGTACTAAATTTCATCTGCAGGAGGTTTACCTCACTGTCGTTCATGCCAAAGAGGCACCTACCAGGAGAAAATGCGATGTTATATACACAGTATCTCACAGAATAAAATTTTAGACCCCCATAGACTATAACCCGCCAGGCTCCTCTGCCCATGGAATATTCCAAGCAAGAATACTGGAGTGGGTTGCCATTTCCTCCTTTAGGGGATCTTCCTGACCCAGGGATCGAACCCATGTCTCTTGCATCTCCTGCATTCACAGGCAGATTCTTTACCACTTTCAGGCAGATTCCTGAAGCCCTATCATCACGATAGAAGATTTAATTAACCTTTCGTATTTGTTCAGATTCTTTACCACTTGAGCTACAGGGAAGTCCTTATTATTAACAATGTGAAAGTGAAAGTTGCTCAGCCGTGTTTGACTCTCTGCGACCCCATGGACTATACAGTCCATGGAATTCTCCAGGCCGGAATACTGGAGTGGGTAGAAGATCCCCTTCTCCAGGGGATCTTCCCAACCCAGAGACCGAATCTACCTGTGATGCAGGAGACCAGGGCTCAATCCCTGGGTTGGAAAGATCCTCTGGAGAAGGGAATGGCAATCCACTTCAGTATTCTTGCCTGCAGAATTCCATGGACAGAGAAGCCTGGCAGGCAACAGTTTGTGGGGTCACAAAGAGTCAGACATGACTGAATGACTAACACACACACATTTGTTCAGATTGCTGTATCTCAATTTTGGATTCAAGGCCTGCAAAACAAGTTGCCTCATTGCTATTAAAAAAAATGGCATAAAACAAATTCTATTTGGAGACAATATAGTCTGTTTAACAAAAACATGGTGAATACTGTGGAGGACACAGAAAGTAAATGCAGAGAAGAGACACTCCTAAACTTTCTCTCCTCCTGAATATCAGTCGTGTGTGATTCTTTGCAACCCCATGGACTGTAGCCCACCAGGTTCTTCTGCCCATGGAACTATCCAGGCAAGAATACTGGAGTGGGTTGCCATTTCCTCCTCCAGGGGATCTTCCCAACCCAGGGATTGAACCTGCCTCTCCCATGTCTCCTACATTGGCAGGCAGATTTTTTATCATTAATACCACCTGGGAAGCCTGCCTACCAAGGAAAATTTACATACCCATCTAGGAGTGTCTTTGGTAAATAAGGATGACAGACAAACATGGGAGAAAAAATCAACTCCATAGGTCTTTACCCAAAATTCAAATGAAGCCAGCCTTCTCTGGACTCCAAAAATTGCTTGGCTGCTCTAAATATTTGCAAAATGTTGAAAGTGTATTTCAAGTGGATCTCTTAGTAGAATTAACACTGATGAGCTCACATCCTCCAGGAAGACTTCTCTGACCATGGTCTTTACTGCCAGTTGCCTGGTGAGAGGAAACTGGCTTATGTTTCCAAATCATTGAACTTAAAATATGTGCATCTAACAGGCTTGCCAGGTTGCACAGTGGTAAAGAATCCACTTGCCAATGCAGGGGTCGCAAGAAATGCAGGTTCAATCCCTGGGTGGGGAAGATCCCATGGAGTAGGAAATGGCAGCCCACTCCCGTATTCTTTCCTGGAAAATTCCATGGACACAGGAGCCTGGCAGGCTACAATGTATGGAGTCACAAAAGTTGGACACGACTGAACACACACACACAACAGCCATTCGCCTGACTGCACCCACTTCTGAGACACTATGAATGCTTTTGGGATAATTTCTCATGCTTGTCATTGGATTTTATTTAAATCACTCGAATAGCTCCTGGCATTCAGCAAGCCCACAGTCACCATCTGTTGGATTAAACTAAATTAAGGGCTACATGAACATGTTCAATTTGAAATCTAGGCAGATTATTGTGAATATTTTAACAATGGCATTCAAGATAGGTTTCTACGACCTATCTTTCTCCCAACAAGGAAGCCATGGAGCTTTCCTTAAATTTGACTAAATAAAGGGCTGTACTTACTTTCTTAGCCTCTGTATATCTTACCTGAGCAATAACCGGGTAGCCACAGACTTCATCTCTAGCCTTGGTCATAGACACTGCCAGCACGAGATCTGGGTTACTCACCAGGTGAAAAGTTCTTGGGAAAACAGGATTAGGCACATCACAAAGCAGCATTACCAACTTAGAGCGCCCCCTGTGCTACTTATCTGGGCACTGCTTCTTAGCTCCATAGATCCTCTGTGATAATGGATGTGAAATCTTCTAGGCATTTCTCCCCACCATGAGCACGAAATTAAGCTTTCTTGGTGGAGAGTGCTGGAAGAATATGGAAGGAGAAAGGGACTCTCCTGTTCTTTCTGGCTGCTGCCTGAGGTCAGTGTTTGGGAGTGGGGATATCCAGGGATGCTCTGCCAAACCAGGTGCCCATTTGACACGGTCCCTTAAACCCTCAGAGCCCTGGCCTGGTGCTCATCTGCTTGTGGCCCTCTCAACATGGACACCTCGTGCTCCAGGCCTTCTGCTGCACCAGCAGCCCCATATCCTCTGCATTTCCATGTGTCCAGCGACAGCTGTACCCCCACGTATGTTTCAGAGGGTTGCTTCCTGCTCACCCAGCAACCACAGACCAGAGCTGACCAGGCAAACTGGCCCATTTCTCTGCCATCCAGTGTACAGTTCCCATGCTTTTCTAAGTGAGTTCTGAACTCCAGGCTTGGGAGGGACCCAATTCCAAGCTTGTCCTCACTCTCTCATCCCCAGAGTCCCATATAGAGGGATTTTTTAAAAATCTGATAGCCATTTATCACAGTTTAATAATTCTTTCTGTTGAAGAATCCTGTTTAAATGACTGTGTATTTTCTCTCTCTAGACTGTACCCAGACAGTCTCCTCACCTGTTCTGCTGTTGAAGAGGTAATGTGGCAGAGAGATTAAGAACATGGATTCTGGAGCCACAATGCCTGAATTTAAATCTTGAATATACCTCAAGATTTGCTCAACAACACTGTGTCTCAGTTTCCTCATCTATAAAATAGGATAACACAGCATACCTCGCAGGGCTCTCATCTCGGGAATATAGTGGGTTAAGGCATAAAGAATGCATTGAATATTGTCTGGCTTGTGGAACTTAATATGAGCTACTATTATTGATGGCTGTGATTTTTTTATAGCTTTCCCTCAAATTCTTCTTTTCTACATAAGTATTTCCTGAAAGTCCAAGATTTATGTTGAATATTTTTAAGCTATATTGGAGTTAAAAATAAAGCCTCCTTGACTGAAAAAACAGACAAAATTACAGAGCTAACCACTCCCCCAATTCTTTCCCTTATGTCACTTAAAAGCAAAAATAAACCAAACATTCAAGAATATTGTCTGCATAGCAAAAGCCTGCTCTTTATGTCTGTCAACATAGTTGCCTTACAGACCAGCAGTGGCATTCCTGCTGTGGAGAGTATAGCTAGTCCTGAGTGTAAAATTTAATGATGTGGAAGTGGGAGAAAGGGGGGTGGAGGAGATCTGTTGTAAAAATACAGTATTTTTACTTTCAAGACCTAAAAGGTGCTAGATATCTAATTTAAATCTCTGAGCATAAAACAAAACATTCTCACTGTAAAGCACATGACCGACTCACATTTTTGTACAGCAAAAACCAGCACAACTTTGCAAAGCAATTACATTCCAATGAAAATATTTTTTAATAAGTAAAACAGATGAGATAGGAAATATCCCAAACCTTAAAAAAAAAAGAACAGAATTTGAATTATCATTTATATTCCTACAAGACTATCACTATTAATCATACAATGTGTTTCTTCCTTCTATTGTTCATGAAGTGTCATTTTAAATCCAAAGTGGGTATTCGATTTTATCAAATACCTTTTTAGCATTTAGCAAGTCTGTGCATGGTGCGAGTGCTGCTGTTCAATATTGTTCATCTCTGTAGCCTCAGCATGTGGCACAGTTTGCATCTTGCATTTTTATTGGCACTCAGTAGTAGTCAAATGAATGAATGATTCTATATTTCCTGCAACTAATTACTGAGGTGGTGCCTAGATGAGTTACCTAGCTTTCTCTGTTTTTGCTGCCAAGAACAGATGTAGCCACTTCTTGGGTGCTTCAGGGCCATGCTCAGCCATGTCAGTGCTGATTTCTCTCTCTTTTTTTTTTTTTGGACAATGAACTGTCACTTGCCTACAGCAGGGTTCTTACATTCTGCAGGAACTCTGAGCTTACTTACGGATGTCTACATGAAGTCCACTATGTGCCAAACAGCAGTGTGAGAACTTTGCGTCCCAGCATCATCCAGCACGAGGTACAGTCTCTTCTACTAATCACAGCACAAGTGTGCGCAAGCCAGCTCAGCCCTTGAGCTTCCCCGAGCTTTAGAACAAGTGACTGACTAGTCACTTCTTTCGGCTCTGAATTCCATGACACTATATTTTTTTTCTTTTTATAATTTTGAAACTTTCTGAGGAGGATTTTCATCCCTGAGTGTTTTTTCATATTTCCCTTTAGAGACCACATGATTAATTCAGATTGTGCCAGGGTTGAAAATGGAAGAGAGATACCAGATTATCTCTAAAGTTGACCTGGACCATTTTTTCTGTGTGGCTGGAAACCAAGTAAATGTGTCTCTGGCAATGTCCTCCCTCCTGTCGGCGTCCCTTTGCTCATTTCTTGCTGACTCTCCTGGACCATCTGCTCTTCCAGCTAGGCCTTGTTCTCACAGTCATAATTTCCCTTAAGAGGTTTTGCTGATAATTGCTTAAGACATCAGATTTCCTAGTTGTTTTCTATTTTAAATAGGCCACAATGAAAAAGTAATTCAAGACCCAAAGGACTGAATGAAAGGTAGAAAATTCTAGGCACAGTGATAGCACTTGGTATCATGCTGGCAGAAAACTACTAGGCCAATGCTCTACTGGTACAAATTCTGATTAGGCAGTTGCCTCAATAAGTGCTAATTTACTGCCTGGGAAAAATATGGGTGATCAAAAGACTATGGTTCACATAAATGGGATTTTCTATAGGTTTTGCTATGTAGTGTAACCCAGGGTTCTCCAGGCCTCACCAGCTTATCAGAACAGATGGGTTTCAATAACTAACTACATGAAAATAAAGAAAAAGCAAAATGACAAGGCAAAATGTAGGAGAAAGTTCAGAATTACTGTCACTATACAGACACATTTTTGCCAAGGGACATTTATTCCTCTGAATAATGCCCATACCTAATCAGCAAGACTTCTGCAAAACCTCTCCTGCCCACGTGCTTAGATGGTGACCCACGTGTTCAGGAGCAAACCTGTCCCACTGCCGCTCCCCATCACAGCTCCACTTCTTCTCTCTAGACTCTGCAGTTTCCAACCAGGGATCAATCAATACCACCATCTCCCTCCAACTGTTCCTCTCTTCTACAGTTTGACATGGGGAGGCCTCAATATGACAGTGTTGCAGAGTGTTCTGGAAAGTGGAAGGAAATTGGAAGGCACCATCTTCTTTTGTGTTACATGTGGTTAGATTTTCCAAAGCAGTGATGGAGTGCATAGAGTTATAAGCAAGCTTCTCCTTGTTTTTACTTAAACAGCCTGTCCTTCCCCTTTTCCTGATTTCCCTACAGCACTCAGAATGGAAACCAAAACCAGTACAGACACTGAACAAGACTGAGCAGGACTCAGAACTTGTTCTCTCTTTCGATAACCAAATGTTTCTGAATGAAACATCAAATGTGGCTGTCTCCTTGGGGTCACTTTTCTCATCCCCTATGCCTGACAACTCCAGTCCTTCCGCCATGCTCAAATTCCAATTCTTAGGCTCAACTAGGATAACTACTACAATACAGAAAGCCAAGGCAGTAAGGTGCAACTCTAAATTCCAGAAAAGTAGAGATGGGTAGCACTAGCTTCCTGGGCAGGAATTTTTATCTGTTTAGTTCTTTGCTGAAAGTGCCAGCACCTAAAACACTGCCCTTGATAATCCCTTGCAGCTAAATGAATGAATTCTGGTCCCATACAGAAAACTATTCACAGGGACAAAAGCCTGCTTCCTAGCTTCCCCGTCACAAAGACAGCTTAGCCAGGATGAATGGGGCGAAAGAACACACTCACCAGGTCTGTCTACATGTTGGCTTTTCAGCGGTCTCTAAAACAAGGCCGCATGTGTTCCCTGCCGGCGGCTCTGAATCTCAGACCAGGGAGGAGAGGAAGGCTGGTTCCTTTCCTGTCCATGCTGGCCCCTCTGCTGCCGCCTGCTGAAGCATATACAGTCTCTCTAGAAGCAGCGGTCCCCTAAGCCTTCTGCATCAGACACCCTTCAGAATCCAACAAAAATCACAGCTGTTTCCCAGGGAAAAGAAAAAGTATTCCACAGATATACAAACACATTTTCTGTATGTAGTATTTCAAGAGACTGAAGAGGGCCCTGGAGCCCCACGATATAACACGAATGATAGACTTGGAAGCAAATCATCTAAAAACCAAGGAGTTGTTCTCTCTCTTGTTAAAGAAATGCTCAAGTATGCACAAAACCAGAGAGAACTGTATAAGAAACCACCACAGATTCAGCAGTTATCAACATTCTGCTATTCCTGTTTCATCCACTGACCCCTCACCACTTTTAAAAGTTTTGCTTTGCTAGAATATTCTAAAACGAATCTGAGTTTTCAGTTTTATCTATAAATACTACAATGTACATCCAAATGATCATGACTTTTTTTAAAAAACATAACCACTAAACTATTATGACATTCTATAAAATTAAAGCCTTCTTTAATATCACGTGCTACCCAGACCATTTTAAATTTCTTCTGACTGTCTAGGAAATAACCTTTCCGACAGTGGTAAGCTTCAAGCTAGATCCATACAAGGGCCAGTCATGGCACTTGGTTGATATATTTGATTAGGGCAAGAATTCAATTCAATTTCACTGTGTGAGTAGAAGCCACATCGGTCAGTTATCTGATGGAGGTGGTGGATGGGAGGGAAAGAATGCATGTGAGGAGGTACAGGAAACTCTATTAACGAAAAGTGCCGCACAATTTTTTAAATAGGACTTTTTAGAATTCTTGATTTTATGATGTTTTCAAATCATAAAAATCAATTAGATGAGCACCTAGTTTTCTCTTGAACTTGGCTCATTAAAACTATGAACCCAATAGGTCAGAATTCACATTCCTTATCTGTATCCAGAGTGGATGGGTTGCGTGTAGACTACTGAGCACTTACGTTTGATTGCACTTTTTCTTCCTTGAGTAGGTTAAGACAAAAATCACTTGCTACATTAAAAAGAAAATCCAAAGTCCTCAAATATGCCTCTGCCTGCTCTGTGGGGACCATGTTGGATCTCTTTGGCTCCCATTCACCTCTTGATATATTAACGCCCAAATATGATGGGTTTACCTGCTGTCTTCCTTGTGCATCCAGCGCTGATGACTATCATCTGCTTTTTTCTCCACCAAAACCACCTCCACACCTGAGCGCAGGTTGGGGCCTCGCACCCCCAAGACTAGCCGAGGAGCAGCATAGCTTATAATTTGCCCATCTCTGTATTCAAACTGCTGGTGGCAAAGTTTCTGCAATTTACTCTGTTTTGGAGAATGGCTGAGATAAAGAAAACCCCATTAGCAGCAGAAAAATATCCTGTACTCTGATGTGCTGGAGATTGCAAATTCTGTTGGCGAGAGACCTGCCGTGAACCAAATTCACTTGTAATGGGGAAGCATTATCATCAGGAGAGCAGCGAAGCCATTTGCTTTGCATTGTCAAGCTGATGTAAAAAGTAGAATTCTGAGTTTATTTTGTAATAGAAATATGTTTATCCAAGAGAATATGAGAAATTCATCAGCAAAGAAAAAAAAATCATTTTAGATCATTTAAAGAGAAAAAGAAGTAGGAGGCAGAACAGCACAAATAGAAATCAAAACAGAAAAACAGAGGAGTTCTGTACAAATGATGATCATTTCTATCCACGATCTACAGAACCCATGGCAAATACAATCCTATTCTCCAAGCTTTTGTCATCTTCCCTAACAGCTCATAGACCATCATAAGCCAAAATGATGATACGCTAATAAGTTAAAAGAATGTCTTACTTAAATATCTCTTAAGGCATTAAACAGACTTAATAAATCTATCAAACATAACAATGCATTAGCACTTAATTTATAAATGTCTATTAAGTCCCTACTTTGTACATGGACCAATGTTAAGTGTTGAAGTACCGAAACTGTTTAATTTATGTAAATTGCTATAATGTTAAGTAAATACATAATGGAATAATGAAAAGTACTATAGATTTCTGTCATTTCACTGGACACTGACCAGAGAAAAAAATAAAATTAAAAGGCAAGAAATTGCATTTTACCAATTTCTAAAAGACATCGGGGCATTTTACATGCTTATTCATAAGTTCATTCACATACTCATTTCACTAAAATATAGGCTCTGTCCTAAGTTCTTAGGAGGCAAAGGCGGATGGGCTTACCTTTTAAAAGAAAAGACAAAAGTGAACAAGAAATTACACCACACAGCTAAAGCGAGAAGTGCTTCCCACCAGTACCTGTAAATGCTTCAGTCAAAATCACAAGAAACACAGAAATGTGTGTGCTGATGTAGACAGCGACTCACAGTAATAGAAATCGTTAGGAATAAAGTGCGTGAACCTAAGACCAGGTAGAAATATTTAACAGGAATCCCTTACAATTTTTTACCTGTATTTCTTCTCTGGTTCCATATTTTCAAAGAGCTCTTCTTCCATTTTCTTTGGAAGATTGTCATCCTCATCAAAGTTATGAGAAGATCCCTGCCAGGCATACCTGAGAAGTGTGTGACAAGCCTTCATTCTGAGATGGGCTCTTGCATGTGAATCCCTATCAAGGTTGAGAAGCAGAGGTCTGAGAATTCTGATTTGTACTCCCAGGATGTTCTCTGAGGTGCAGTCTGATTGTATTCTAAAGGGTGTTAGTGGGTCTGGAAATCACATTTCCATAATGGTGCCTAACATTGCAAAGTCACATCCTACTAATACACAATTTAGAATTTTAATACAAAGCTACCAATAAAATTTCTCAATTGCATAATAAACAGCATTCATCTTTGTTATATTTACTCAGGAAAAAAATGGGGCCATATGTATTCTATTTCAAAAATAAGATTAGGACTGCTCAATAATTTTGGAAATTCATAGCAAACATGTAATAAGACTCCTGCATACTCCATAAATCTGGCATAATTCTGTCTGAAACAGACAGCCTAGATTACTAGGTTTCATAAAATTTACTCATTAGGCAAAGTTAAGGAATCTTAATTAACTTTTCCTCTCAGTAGAAAAATCTAGAGAGACTCAAATAGCACTAGCACAAACATGCCAGGTTTTGATAGAGAATAATATACAAAAAACGCTTAAATAGTCATAGTCTGAATAACTGAGTGGGCCTCCTGGCTTCTTATTAAGATGAAATCGTGAACAGACACATAACCACCATGCAGATGTGAGTATATCAAGTTCCCAGGCACAGTTTAGAGTACAGTGCTTGCATGGGATCATGATACAATACAAGAACTGCTCTGCTGAAGGCAGGATACATATACAGGCAAAGCAGCTAGCATACTTCAGTACTCTAAATGTGCATAAGTGTAAATAAAGTTCTCTGGGGGAAGTTGTGGTCGCCAGGGTGCTTGTGGTAATTTGATGTAACTGCAAGCAGTGTCAAAGTACTCAAGTCTCCAGGGACAAGTCCTGCTTTAGCAGAGCAGACCATACACTTTTCAAATGAAGCAAAAGTATTACATGTGGATATGGAATTGGTGGGTAACTGCCTCATTCAGAACTTTAGCAGGAACAGCTTCTCAAGTAAAAAAAGTCTCATTAACAGTTAAAGAGAAATAGTGCCATCTTGTGTTGAAAATAGAAAATGCAGCTTTCCCACCAACTTCATCTCTGATGAAAATAGACCAACAACAAAAATAAAGTCAGTTTTAACACAGTCAGCAAGGTGTAAATAAGATTTTTCCTCCACGTTGAGATGTTTTATCTTCTAACTTAGGCAGTCTGTATTCTCTTCAGCTTCCAAGCAACTGAAGTACAGTACAGTCAATTTTAGAACAGCCATTAAAACAGATACCTAAACAAACATCTTGCTTCATTGATTCATTTATGTACACTAGTTAGAACTGGACGTGGAACAACAGACTGGTTCCAAATAGGGAAAGGAGTACGCCAAGTCTGTACATTGTCACCGTGCTTATTTAACTTATATGCAGAGTACATCATGTGAAACGCTGGGCTGGATGAAGCACAAGCTGGAATCAAGATTGTTGGGAGAAATATCAATAACCTCAGATATGCAGATGACACCACCCTTATGGCAGAAAGTGAAGAACTAAAGAGCCTCTTGATGAAAGTGAAAGAGGAGAGTGGAAAAAGTTGGCTTAAAACTCAACATTCAGAAAACTAAGATCATGGCATCTGATACCATCACTTCATGGCAAATAGATGGGGAAACAGTAGAAACAGGGACAGACTTTATTTTCTTGGGCTCCAAAATCACTGCAGATGGTGACTGCAGTTATGAAATGAAAAGACGCTTGCTCCTTGAAAGAAAAGCTATGACCAACTTAGCATATTTAAAAGCAGAGACATTACTTTGCCAACAAAGGTCTGTGTAGTCAAAGCTATGGTTTTTCCAGTAGTCATGTATGGATGTGAGAGTTGGACCATTAAGAAAGCTGAGTGCCAAAGAATTGATACTTTTGAACTGTGGTGTTGGAGAAGACTCTTGAGAGTCCCCTGGATTGCAAGGAGATAGAACCAGTCAGTCGTAAAGGAAATCGGTCCTGAATATTCATTGGAAGGACTGCTGCTGAAGCTGAAGCTCCAATACTCTGGCCACCTGATGTGAAGAACTGATTCACTTGAGAAACCCTGACGCTGGGAAAGATTGAAGGCAGGAGAAGGGGATGATGATGGCATCACTGACTCGATGGACATGAGTTTGAAAAAGCTCCAGGAGTTGGTGATGAACAGGGAAGCCTGGTGTGCTGCAGTCCATGGCGTCACAAAGAGTTGGACATGACTGAGTGACTAAACTGAACTGACTGAATTCATTCATTCATACACCTAGTCAGTATTTAGTTAGTCACAGATTCCTTTAACTAATATTCCTTGAGCATCTACTACATTATAGGGACAAAGGTCTAAGTATTGGGGATACAGTGATGAACAAAACTGTTCTCAGGATTCATGGAGCTTACATTCTAGTGGGAAGAAGAGAGATAATAGACAAATAAATGAATAAACAAGCAATATAAATGTTACAGGTGGAATAAAACAGGAAATTGTGATAGAAATTGGGCAGGGTCAGGTAGGACCTACTTTAGCAATGGAGTCAGAGAAGGCACCTCTGAGAAATGATGTTAGAGTTGGGACTGGGACAATGGGAAGGAGCCAATCACATCAGGACCTGAAGGGAGAACACTCCAGAACAAGTGGAAAGGCTCCAAAGCAAGAACATACATGGCTCATTGAGGAACAGAAGGAAACTGGTGTGACAGGCATATAATTAGTGAAGGGAAAGTTAGTACATTAAGGCTTAAGAAATGACCAGGGCCTGGATACAAGGCACTGAAGAAATGAGAACGTTCCCTTTAAACTCCAGGCTCTGAAGGTCTTTTCTTCCACAAAGCATCAACACAGAGGTTAATGCCCTCAGAATTTCTTTTCCTTTGTTTCTTATCCTTCTCATCAGAAATCTCTTCACTGAACCCAACTATCAAAAGAGTTCCTTCCAGATTTGCATTCTAGCCTCTTGCTTTACAGATGTCCCTCCTTAAATTATTTCTCTTCTTTTTAAATATGTGAAAATCTCCATATAAACATATGTAAGAAAGTCTAGAGAAATTTTGTGTTTACTTAATATAAGATGATAGGGGTTTGAGTGATCAGAAATGGTTCAAAGAACAAGTGAAAGTTAGCCTGGAAAAGATACAACCCAGAAGATTAATGACAATGAGTTCCAAATACTTTAAACAGGTGAACTCATAGAAGAGAGACATTCTAAATCACTATTTCAACATTAAAACTGGCTGCCTTGTGAAACAGTGATCTCCCTGTCAATTAGGAGTATTCAAGAAGCGACTGGATTAAAAGATCCTGCCTAGAATGTACAAGACATTCCTACATCATTTTTTTTTAACCTGAGGTATAACATGTAATACTATATTAGTTTCAGGTGTACAACATAATTTGATAATTGTATATATTGTGAAATGATCACAAATACATGTAGTTAACATCCATCCCTGCAGATAGTTACAAATTGTTTTTCTTATAATAACTTTAAGATCTGCTCTCTTAATGACTTTCAAATACACAGTGCGATATTACTAGGTATAGTTACCATGCTTCTGCATTATGTTGTCGAATGGACTCAACCATTTTTAGATCAAGGATTCCAGGCCTTGATGAAATCTATGAATCAGGACAAGAATCTTTGCTCTCAAAGATATCATTTCTCTTTTCTTATTTTCTGTTTAGTTTTCCAAAATACAGTATAATAACTCAGAGGCTAAATGACACATTCTTTAGAAGGACAACAAGAGGGGACGTTAGGAAAGTTTGTGGCCCATTCCCTAACGACTGAGCAAGATATCATATAAGTCAAATCACTCTCTCTGTGAACGGTTTTCCTTTCTGGGGCCTTTTTAGTGTCAGGATGTAGGACCAGATGAATTACCCACAAAAATGAGGAAATTTGATTACTAACATAAAAGTTAATGTTCTTATACATGAGGACAGAAACAATCTTTTAAAACAGTGGGTAACAATGATGTATAAATTAATTTTCGATTACTACAATGGTAATTTCTGGTTTCATAATTTGGAAACTCATTCAATGATTCCTTCATTTATTCAGTAAATGATGACAAAAGTCAGTTTCCCTGGTTTTCACAGAACACATGTGACAGTTTCTCCCCTCAAGGAATTCCCAAGTTGGTAGTTGTTGGTGAGGGAGAGGGTAAGTACATTGCTAGCACAATCATTGTCATGATTGATTTCAACGATAAAGAATCCTTCCACCAATGAGGATGGGGCAAATCAAGGTGCTTCAGTTGGAGAGAAACGAGTATGTGGTCAGGCCTACACAGTGCGTCAGTGGAGTAGGCAATGTTCAGCTGACAGCTTGCAGCTTGCTGAGCTGGAGCTTGGAGTTCACATGGCAGACAGAAGAAGTATGGAGAGGAGATGGGCATGTGGGCACGAATGAGGGTTAACACGGGCCTGGATGAGGGCCAGGAGGGCTTGGAATTGCAGACTACACAATGTTTTCTGTCTGCAGTAGGTAGCCATTGAAGAACTGTATAAAAAGGATTGTGCTTTAGAAAGATGATTGTCCAGAGATGAAACTTCAAGGTGAATTGGAAGGAGGAGATTATGGAGATAGAAACCAACCAGAAAGCTATTCCAGCAATCCAGGATGGTAACTTACATTCTCAAACATTCGGCTGGAATCTCCAATAAGGAAGAAACATGATTGTTCTTAAAGTCCATGCTGATGGAAGCAAAACATGATGAATTCCTCAAATAAATGTAACCAGTTCTAAGATTCTAGTCTTTTTAAAAAAATAGTAATGTCAAAGACTTTTTCTGCATCTATTTAGATTATCATATGGTTTTTATCTTTCAATTTATTAATGTGGTGTATCACATTGATTGATTTGTGTATATTGAAGAATCCTTGCATCCCTGGAATAAACCTAACTTGATCATAGTGTATGAGCTTTTTGATATGTTGCTAAACTCTGTTAGCTAAAATTTTGTTGAGGATTTTTGCATCTATGTTCATCAGTGATATTGCCTATAGTTTTCATTTTCTGTGTTGTCTTTATCTGGTTTTAGTATCAGGGTGATGGTGGCCTAATAAAATGAGTTTGGAAGTGTTCCTTCCTCTGCAATTTTTTGAAAGAGTTTTAGAAGGATAGGCATTATCTCTTCTCTAAATGTTTGACAGAATTCTCCTCTGAAGCCATCTGGTCCTGGGCTTTTGTTTTTTGGGAGATATTTGATCACAGCTTTAATTTCAGTGCTTGTAATTGGGTTGTTCATAATTTCAGCACCCCTTAATTATTAAAACTCTTCAAAAAATGGGCATAGAAGGAATCTACCTCAACATAGTAAATGCCATACATGATATGCCTACAGCAAACATTATTCTCAATGGTGAAAAACTAAAAGCACTACACCTAAGATCAGGAACAAAACAAGGGTGCCCACTTTCCCCACTATTATTCAACATAGGTCTGGAAGTCCTAGTTACAGCAATCTGAGAAGAAAAAGACATGGAAGGAATCCAGATTGGAAAAGAAGAAGTAAAGCTCTCACTGTTTGCAGATGACATGATACTGTACATAGAAAACCCTAAAGATAATATCAGAAAATTACTAGAGCTAATCAGTGAATTTAGCAAAGTTGCAGGATACAATATCAAACACAGAAATCACCTGCATTTCTATATACTAGCAATGAAAAATCAGAAAGAGAAATTAAGGAATCAATCCCATTCACCATTGAACAAAAAGAATTAAATATCTAGGAATAAACTTACCTAAGGAGACAAAAGAACTATACACAGAAAATTATAAGCCATTGATGATAGAAATCAAAGATGACATAAATAGATGGAGAGATATTCCATGTTCCTGGGTAGGAAGAATCAATATTGTGAAAATGACTATACTATCAAACACAATCTACAGATTCAATGTGAGCCCTATCAAATTACCAATGGCATTTTTCACAGAACTAGAAAAAAAAAATCACAATTCATATGGAAACACAAAAGATCCCAAATTGCCAAAGCAGTCTTGAAAAAGAAGAATGGGGCTGGAGGAATCAACCTTTCTGACTTCAGATTATACTACAGAGCTGCAGTCATCAAGACAGTATGGTACTGGCACAAAAACAGAAACATAGACCAATGGAACAAGATAGAAAGCCCAGAAATAAACCCATGCACCCTTTGGGTATCTTATATTTGACAAAGGAAGCAAGAATACACAATGGGGCAAAGACAGCCTCTTCAATAAATCGTGTGGGAAAACTGGACAGCTACATGTAAAAGAATGAAATTGGAACACTTCCTAACACTATACACAAAGATAAGCTCAAAATGGATTAAAGACCTAAATGTAAAACCTGAAACTATAAAACTCTTAGAGAAAAACATATACATAACACTCGATGACATAAATCAAAGCAAGATCCTCTATGACCCACCTCCTAGAGTAATGGAAATAAAAACAAAAGTAACAAGTGGGACCTGATTAAACTAAAAAGATTTGCACAGCAGAGAAAACCAAAAGCAAGGTGAAAAGACAACTCTCAGAATGGGAGAAAATAATAGCAAATGAAACAACTGACAAAGGATTAATTTCCAAAATATACAAGCAGCTCATACAACTCAATGCCAGAAAAACAAACAAACCAATCAAAAAGTGGGGAAAGACCTAAACAGACATTTCTCCAAAGAACACATACAGATGGCTAACAAACACATGAAAAGATGCTCAACATTACTCATTACTAGAGAAATGCAAATCAAAACTACAATGAGATATCACCTCACACCAGTCAGAATGGCCATCATCAAAAAGTCTGCAAACAATAAATGCTGGAGAGGGTGTGGAGAAAAGGGAATGTTCTTGCACTGTTGGTGGGAATGAAAAGTGATACAGCCACTATGGAAGATGGCATGGAGATTCCTTAAAATACTAGGAATAAAACTACCATATGACCCAGCAATCCCACTCCTAGGCATATACCCTGAGGAAACCAAAACTGAAAAAGACACATGTATCCCATTGTTCACTGCAGCACTATTTACAATAGCTAGAACATGGAAGCAACCTAGATGTCCATCAACAGATGAATGGATAAAGAAGTTGTGGTACATATACACAATGGAATATTACTCAGCCATAAAAAGGAACACCTTTGAGTCAGTTCTAATGAGGTGGTGGATGAACCTAGAACCTATGAAGTAAGCCAGAAAGAGAAAGATAAATACTGTATTCTAATGCATATATAAGGAATCTAGAAAAATGGTACTGAAGAATTTCAGACATAGAGAAACAGACAGAGAGAATAGACTTGTGGACATGGGGAGAGGGGAGGAGAGGGTGAGATGTATGGAAAGAGTAACATGGAAACTTGTAAAATAGACAGCTAAAGGGAATTTGCTGTATGGCTAAGAAACTCAAACAGGGGCTCTGTATCAACCTAGAGGGGTGGGATGGAGAGGGACATGGGAGGGAGGTTCAAAAGGGAGGGGATATATGTATACCCATGGCTGATTCATGTTGAGGTTTGACAGAAAACAACAAAATTCTGTAAAGTAATTATCCCTCAATAAAAAAATAAATTTAAAAAATTGTAGCATCATAACAGAATTATTGAAAGTAGATCATTGTGATGGTTGAACACTGAAGCCCCAGCTCTATCCTTTTACCAGGAAACTAATTAAATACTAGCTCTTTAAATGCCATTAGTTTCACAAACTTGATGTGGGTTCCCTGCATGGGCTCTGAGCTGTTACTGAGCTAATGAGCTAAGTTCAAATAGGAACAGGTAGCTTTTCTGGCCACACTGATTACTCACAGAATTTCACTGGAAGCATTTTCTAATGTTAAAGCATTTTTTTGCATTTGCTTTTCCTCTGGTTCTATAATTTGCTCTTCTTTTCCAAAAATTGGTTTCCTCACAGCAAGCTTGGCTCCAGACACAATGTCACTTTGGACTTCTAAAACAAGAGCTGAACAGAAATGCACAAATTGAAAGGACATAATAGTTATGATCTCAGAGCATGAGGATTTTGAAAACATGTGCTAAAACAAAAATGCAGAAACTTTCCAGCTGTTGTGTCTAAGAGAATACATTCTAAGTGTAATTGATAGCTGCTCTTTAAACTAATAAATTGAATTTCACTTAATTTAATTTTTGTAGATTCTTTTCTCTCAAAATATTTTCAGTCAAAAGTGCTAAAAGTAGGTCTTTCCAAAAATAAGCTGGCTATTGTAAATTCTAACTATTCAAATGGGTTACATTATCTAGATATATGCCTTTAGATCATTCTCTGGGATCCCAGACACTTCAGTGAAAGTTCCCAATGCCTTAAGAGACACATGAAAAGCTTAATATACAGTGTTCAATATATGCAATAAGATACTATTTTAAATTATATTAATGAATTTTCTCTTTTCCCTTTCTATGTATAGCATCTTTGTCCTGGTCCTGGGGTATCCTTCAGGGAAGACGGAAGACCATGAGGAAATGAGCAACATTACAAGAGAAAGCATAAGTACAAATACAGTTTGGACATTCAAGCACAAGACTATGGCCATGCAGGTCAGGATGACACTGTCATGACTTAGGATTTTTTTTTTTTTCTAAATGCCTTTAGCTCCCATTTAACTCATCAAAGTTTTCATCTCAGCGTTGAGCTGGAGGAGCCCTACCATTTCTGGGCCTGAGGGAATCTGTGGTGGAATACAGACAAAGGTGGATAACCAGCATCAGGTGTCATGCTTCCCTCCCACAGGTGTCTTAGCTAGATGAGGAAACGCTGAGGACACCGCCCATTGTTCGGGACACAGTGATGCGTTACCTCTGGAGCTGTCCTCACCCCTTCAGTCTACGTGAAGTTGGATCTGGCTTCTGAGAGGTGCAGCCATGACCCAGGATTACTGACAGCCACGCGGGGTAGCTTTGCAGAAGTGGCTGCCAGCCAGGGGTCAAGAGGTTTTGTAGCAAGGTTTGCAGAGATGGCTACCCAGACACAACCAGGCTGCAGAGAGCACAGGCGAGGTGGAGGCAGGTAGGAAGCACTACCCCACCCAAAGCACTGTCTGGGCCAGAAGAATGGGACACTGTCACTCAGCCATGGACTTCAGCCAGCAGGGCCCAGAAAGCAAGAGGATCTGCACCCCCAAGTTCCTTCCTTCCATGCTAGAGAAGAACTAAAGTGAGAGTCTGGAGACTGGGAAAACTGAAAGCCTTTGCTAAAGGGCCTATTTAATTAAATGGATGGGACAAATGTAAACCTGACAGTACATTTAAAGTTTTCCTTGTTTGGGGTATACCTGGGGTTCACAAAGAAGGTCCAATTTGTTAAAGACAAAATAAAAGTATGTTTTCTTTGCACATTCAAAGTACAGTGTGAATTAAAATTGCAACTCTGTTAAATAAAAAATTAGTCTAACACAAAATAGTAAGATGCAGGGATGAAATTTGACCTGTTTAAACAAGCAAATTTCTTTTTAAAAAGCCATATCATTAAGGTTTTTTTTCTTTTTGGTCTGTGTGTATATATATTTGTGTGTGTGTGTGTGTGTTTGTGTGTGTGTGTAGAGACAGAGAAGGTAAATAATTCCGATGCTTACCCTCTATCTTATGCATACTGCAGAAGATTTGAATTTTAGAAATATCTGATGCTAAGTTCCTTAGGAAGATTTGCTTCTTTTGCTGAGCAGTGGACAGGTCAGGATTGATCCAGTGTTCACCACATGAAACGTACACCTACCAAAGAAATAAGTCTCTAATCTCATACAATTGCTCACAGCAGCATTATTATACCCCAGACTGGAAACAATCAAAACATCCTACAATAAGTGTGTGGTGAAACAAACTATGGCACCATACTCAATGAAAAAAGGAATAATGCTCACTGATAAAAAGGCACAATCTATTGATAAACACAACAAAGTTGATGGATCTCTATGGTTTTGTACTGAAAGAAGTACTTCTCCATATATCTTTGCAACTTACTACAAATCTCTATGAATCTTTAATTAATTCAAAATACTAATAAGAAGTTGTAGAAAAAATAAAGGAGATAAAGGAAAGAAGGAAGGGAGGGATGTGGGGAAGGATGCTAAGTCGCTTCAGTCGTGTCTGACTCTGTGTGACCCCATAGATGGCAGCCCACCAGGCTCCCCCGTCCCTGGNACTCTGTGCGACCCCATAGACGGCAGCCCACCAGGCTCCCCCATCCCTGGGATTCTCCAGGCAAGAACACTGGAGTGGGTTGCCATTTCCTTCTCCAGTGCATTAAAGTGAAAAGTGAAAGTGAAGTCGCTCAGTCGTGTCCGACTTAGCGACCCCATGGACTGCAGCCTACCAGGCTCCTCCGTCCATGGGATTTTCCAGGCAAGAGTACTGGAGTGGGGTGCCACTGCCTTCTCCGTATGGGTATAAATCAGGGGTTTGTAAACTATGTCAGGCTAAGTCACTTCAGTCTTGTCCGACTCTTTGCGACTCCATGGACTGCCAGGCTCCTCTACCCATGGGATTCTACAGGCAAGAATACTGGAGTGGTTTGCCATTTCCTTCTCCAAGGGATCTTCCTAACCCAGGGATCAAAGCCATGTTTCTGACGTCTTCTGCATTGGCAGGCTGGTTCTTTACCACTCGCACCACCTGGGAATGAATGAATGAATGAATGAAAGTTGCTCAGTTGTGTCCGATTCTTTGCAACTCCATGGACTGTCCATGGCATTCTCCAGGCAAGAACACTGGAGTGGGTTGCCTTTGCCTTATCCAGGGAATCTTCCTGACCCAGGGATCGAAGCTGGGTCTCCAGCATTACAGGCAGATTCTTTGCCATCTGAGCTACAGGGAGGGCTGAGGTCCAAATCTTGCTCACAGCCTGCTCTTGTAAATAAAGTTTTATTGGAACACAGCTATGCCCACTCACTTGCATATCTGTGACTGCTTTTGTGCTACAGTGGCAGAGTTGATATTTCAATAGATTCCATGTGGCCTGTGAATATTAGGAAGTGTCAGTTCACAGAAAATTCCAACAACCACTGGTATGAATGAACTTGTAGTATATGTATTGAGCTGTTAATGGACATTTCTAGATGCTGAGATGACAGATGATACTTTTCCTTTTTGCTTATGTGTACCTTCTAAATGTCTTTAAATAAATACATATTTGTTTGAAGTGAGAAAAAACAGAGTAATATATTGAGAAAGACTTGGTTAAAAAAAAAAAAGAAAATCAATGCTGCCTTTTGGGGGTCACTCACTAATCACACATACTTTCTATGTTGACCCAGGGGAAGTTTCCTGAAAAATATCTTCTTTCTGATCAACAAGGTTCTTCTCTCACAGACATACTCAATTATGTGACTGTTCATGTTTCAATCTCCATGTCGGTGGCTCCGAACAGTTGGGCAGATTCATTTCTAGCAAATGTGCAGGATCTTTTAACAATCACTCCTGACTCCATCCCATTCTCCTTTCACTCCTGCTCCCTCTGCCCTGGTGGCCTCAATGACTTATCTTTAAATTAGATTTATCTTTTTGCATTGTATGCTTTATTGCATCAACCTTAAATTCTTTCCAAAATAACACAGTGAATAAGCACAGCAGCAAAAACAAAAATATTAGAAGGAAACAAACAAGACACTTGGCAGGGATAGAGTTAGGATTCAAAACACAATCTAGCAAGCTCCAAGAACAGAGGCTCTCTGCTCTGCCATGCTGCCTCTAATATTAGTCAATGGTACTTTGAATTTCAAGGGGTACTTCTTTCAAGGGGTCTTGACATTCAGAGCTGAGTCAAGTTCTAACAATTTGGTACAAGCTTGGTTCTCTGTTCAAAGAATTTCAGGCATCTATCAAAGTGGGTTTTCTTTTCGAACTGATACTTCAAATTCTGTAAGTGGGAGAAAAGGCCGGGCAACTAAAGTCCTTCCACTTCTTAGCATTCTCTAATCACTCAAATTGTTGTTGATGAAACATTTCATCACTAAGATGTGTCTGACTCTTTTGTGACCACATGGACTGTAGCCCACCAGGCTCCTCCATCCATGGGATTCTCCAGGTAAGAATACTGGAGTGGGTTGTCATTTCCTTCTCCAGGTAATCTTCCAGACCCAGGGATCAAACCCTTGTCTCCTGCAATGGCATGCATAGTCTTTACCAGTAAGCCACCTGGGAAACCCAAGCACTCAAATAGTGTATGAGAAGCTAGATATGATTTTTTTTTCTGAAAAGGTGAAATTATCATTTAGGAAGAAATTGTTAAATAACCACATTTTGAAAACCTCAAAAACAATATAGAATTTACCTCCTTAAAAGAGCAGGGCAGAAATCACAAGTGGGTAATAATTTGGTTCTCTCCAGTTTATGCCTTCATTTATTTATAAGGTGGTTGTGATGAGCATTAAATGAGTTCTGTCATATACAGCCCTGAAAATCATGCCTGACACATAGAAAGCAGGCAACAATAAGCTACTTGTATTACTTCCTGATGGTTGCTGAATTAAGATAATAGTGAGAAAAAAAAACAGGAAAAGATGGTGCTTGAAGTCATATAAAAAATATTTTTCTTTTAATAGTACCAGTATATTAATATTCCTAGTTTCATGGTCATGTTTTTACCAGTTCATCTCTTTGAAGTTCTTTTAGCGTGAAGATTTCCTTCCCTTTCTCATTGAATAATCTCCGAGCTGCAGAAGGTAAATTTAAAATTTCAGTGCACCTGTAATATAGACACAAAAATTGACCTTGCATGTGGAAAGTTTCCAGCAGAGAAGAGAGTAAATCAAAGAAATCAAGGTGGGTCATTAACTATAACTAGTTCTACAGGACTGTGGGACACTTGAGAGCTCAGTCCTGGAATCTATCAGATGCCTTTTGAATTTCATTCCCCCTCTTCAGGTGTAGGACTTGGAAAAATTATTTAAACTCTCTAAGCCTAAATTTCTTACCTGTCAAGGTTGTTGTGACGATTAAGGGTTGATTATGAAATGTGCTTATTAGCACAGTGCCAAGCATGATCGACAAGCAATTAAAAAAAAAATATATCATTATTGACTTTTCACTCCTCAACATGTTCCTGTGAAATGAAAGTCGCTCAGTCATGTCTGACTCTTTGCGACCCCATGAGCTATACAGCCCACGGAATTCTCCAGGCTAGAATACTGGAGTGGGTAACCGTACTCTTCTCCAGGGGATGTTCCCAATCCAGGAATTGAACCCAGGTCTCATGCATTGCAGGCAGATTCTTCCCACATTGCAGGCAGATTCTTTACCATCTGAGCCTCCAGGAAAGCCCCAACATGCCCCTACACTTTCCTATTTGTGGGTCTTTTCTCTTGTTCTTGCTTCCATATAAAACACCTTACTCAGCTTTTGCTGTTGAAGTTCTACTCTTTCTCCAAAGTTACATCCATCACCCAGTAGGTCCTCATCTCTCTCCACCAGTAGTGATTCCTAACAGCCCTTTAAGTCCCTTTCGAATAGGAATTTTTTCGCCAGGTTAAACATTCAATAGTGATTTTTTTTCCCCCCTCAAACAAGCACTGAGCCAGCCTTGTGGATATCGAGATGAATGATACAGTTGCCCTGTTTCCTGGGGGGCTCCCTCTCTAGTCAGGGGGAAAGACTGGTTGGTAACTAAAGTGTAACATGAACTAACGGAGTTGTCACAGGCACCTGGCCAGAGTGTTGTGAGAACACAGAGGAAAAACAACGAATTCCTCCAGGGAAGCCTCAATTCAATTAGGGAAGTGACCTTTAGGGGTGGACCTTGATGAATAAACAGGAGTTCACCACATAGAGTTAGGATGCAGAGAAGTTTTACATGGCTGGAGCTGGGTTTGTGGACAGGAGGTGGAGCCAGATAAAGCTGCTAAAGAAGATAGGAAACAATTGGGAACCACTTAGGATGCCAGACTAATGAACGTGACCTGTATCCCATAAGTATCAGAAAGCCATTAGGGGTATTATGGCAGAGAAATGGTGCAGTCGGATCTGCTTTTTAGAAACAGAACTGTCAGAAAAGTGGAAGGTGTGCTTGAGGTGGAGAGGTGGAGTTCATATAGTCATTTACGGCAGAGGTAAGGAGGTGGAATTGTGGGGAAGGGAAGAAGAGCTAAACAGAATGATGGGGCATGTCCGAAAGAATGCTGTTTTTTATTAAAATGTACTGTCTATGGTAAATGAGTTAGAAGTGACTTTGTGCTCATCAAGAAAACCTAGCTGTATGAAAAACATTTCTCAACTTTATTTCCTTAGATGGCATAAAGACATTTAAGTCAGTAATTAGGCTTCCATTTTTCTGAGAGGTCTTAGAAGGAAATTAGCCAGTGGGAACTCAGTCTCTGCTTCTCCTGTCACAACCCTGGAGGCTGATGGATTGGTGAGGCCTGGGCCAGGTTTCTCATTCATAGGAGTTGTCGGGGTGGAGGGATGGGTGGAGAAGGGGGGACTGTAATAAGATTGATCCCAATTGAAAGATTTCCTTAATTTTCTCTGGATGCTGCCCAAAGGTTCTGCCACTTACCCCAGATCCAAGCATGACCTAAGGAGAGTTACCATCATCATAACCGGCTCCCACTCACATTTTCCTGGGAGAATTTTGGACTACTGCAGTATCCAGTTTTAGGACAGCTGGGAGAAGAGACTGAATAGGAAGTTGGCAGATTTTTCTTCCTCCTGTTCTTGGAAACCCTAGTTTAATAGTGCTGAATTTAATTGGTCTGAGTAGCTGTGCTAGAGATTAGCTGCTTCCTCTGTGTTGAATTCCTTTAGCTAGTTCACGTGCCAGCCAGCATCAATGGAGAGAAAAGAAAGGAACTGACTCTTAAGTGCCTAATAAGAAATGTGGACTCTGGGAGAAGGCGAGGGTGGGATGTTTCAAGAGAACAGCATTGAAACATGTATATTATCTAGGGTGAAACAGATAACCAGCCCAGGTTGGGTACATGAGACAAGTGCTCCGGCCTGGTGCACTGGGAAGACCCAGAGGGATCGGGTGGAGAGGGAGGTGGGAGGGGGGACTGGGATGGGGAATACATGTAAATCCATGGCTAATTCATTTCAATGTATAACAAAAACTACTGTAATGATGTAAAGTAATTAGCCTCCAACTAATAAAAAT